GAAAGTAAGAGCAAAACAAAGAAAACAAGAGCAAAGCAAGTCAGAACAAAGACAACATACGGAAAAAAACGTCAAAACAAGAACAAAGGATATGAAGAAAACATGAAAATGATTAGGATAAGAGAAAAAGAATAGACAAAAGAACGATGATACTTTATTAATAACAGAAGGAAATTCCAAAACATACAGATTTCCAAAATATGAAAAAAAACAAAAAACAAACAAACAAACAAACAATCAATAAAAAAATAAAAACAAAAACAATTTAGTTTAAAATGAAAGCATGATAGTTTTACCAAACAAACAGGCCAGAAAATGAAGATATAAATAAAGACATAAGGAAGAGTAACAAACAGGCAAATAAGCAGACATACAAATATATATAAAGACATAAGAAAAAGCAACAGGCGGTCAAATAAGCAAGATAAATAAGAAAACAGACTAAACTAATAAAACAAACAGAAACAAACAAATCGACACAAACATGAACAAACATACATAAAAACATAAAACAACAAACAATTAAATGAACAATTAGACAAATAAACTTATACATTAACAGACAGACAGACAAACAGACAGATATACGGACCAATAAACTGACGAAAAGACAGAGAAGCAGACAAAAAAACAAACAAACAAACGAATGGACACAAACAGACTAAAAACCAAACAGACTGAAAAACAAACAAACTAAAAAACAAACAGACTGAAAAACAAACATACTAAATAACAAACAAACTAAAAACAAACAAACTAAAAAAACAAACAAATTCAAAACCAAACAGACTGAAAAACAAACAAACTAAAAAACAGACAGACTGAAAAACAAACAAACTAAAAAAACAAACAAACTAAAAAACAAACAGACTGAAAAAACAAAGAAACTAAAAAACAAACAGACTGAAAAAACAAACAAACTAAAAAACAAACAGACGGAAAAACAAACAAAATAAAAACAAACAGACGGAAAAACAAACAAACTAAAAACAAACAGACGGAAAACAAACAAACTAAAAAACAAACAGACTGAAAAACAAAGAAACTAAAAACAAACAGACGGAAAAACAAACAAACTAAAAAACAAAGAGACGGGAAAACAATCAAACTAAAAACAAACAGACGGAAAAACAAACAAACTAAAAAACAAAGAGACTGAAAAACAAACAAACTAAAAAAACAAAGAGACTGAAAAACAAACTAAAAAACAGACAGACTGAAAAACAAACAAACTAAAAAACAAAGAGACGGGAAAACAATCAAATTAAAAACAAACAGACGGAAAAACAAACAAACTAAAAAACAAAGAGACTGAAAAACAAACAAACTAAAAAACAAAGAGACTGAAAAACAAACAAACTAAAAAAACAGACTGAAAAACAAACAAACTAAAAAACAAACAGACTGAAAAACAAACAAACTAAAAAACAAAGAGACTGAAAAACAAACAAACTAAAAAACAAAGAGACTGAAAAACAAACAAACTAAAAAAACAGACTGAAAAACAAACAAACTAAAAAACAAACAGACTGAAAAACAAACAAACTAAAAAACAAACAGACTGAAAAACAAACAAACTAAAAAAACAAACAGACGGAAAAACAAACAAACTAAAAACAAACAGACGGAAAACAAACAAACTAAAAAACAAACAGACTGAAAAACAAAGAAACTAAAAACAAACAGACGGAAAAACAAACAAACTAAAAAACAAACAGACGGAAAAACAAACAAACTAAAAAACAAACAGACTGAAAAACAAACAAACTAAAAAACAAAGAGACTGAAAAACAAACAAACTAAAAAAACAAAGAGACTGAACAAACAAACAACAACTAAAAACAAAGAGACGGGAAAACAATCAAACTAAAAACAAACAGACGGAAAAACAAACAAACTAAAAAACAAAGAGACTGAAAAACAAACAAACTAAAAAACAAAGAGACTGAAAAACAAACAAACTAAAAAAACAGGCTGAAAAACAAACAAACTAAAAAACAAACAGATTGAAAAACAAACTGAAAAACAAAGAGACTGAAAAACAAACTAACTAAAAACCAAAGAGACTGAAAAACAAACAAACTAAAAAAACAGACTGAAAAACAAACAAACTAAAAAACAAACAGACTGAAAAACAAACAAACTAAAAAACAAACAGACTGAAAAACAAACAAACTAAAAAAAACAAACAAACAGACTGAAAACCAACCAACCAACCAAACAAACAAACAAGACAGAATCGACTCACCAGCAGAGCGAGGAGAGGCGGGAGGTTAATAATCCAGTCAAGGTCGTCCATGGGCAGAATCCAGCAGTTTTTGCTCCCCTTCCAGTAGGCTCGAACCCCGACGTATATACTCAGGGGCAGGAGAGGAAACACTGGCGGGGAGAGGAAAGATTCGATAACGGTGGAGACAGAGGCAGAGGGGAAGAGGAGGAGGAAGAGGAGGAGGAAGAAGAGGGGGAGGAGAAAGAAGAGGAAGAAGTGGAGGAGGAGGAGAAAGAGGAGAGAGAACACTGGTGGGGAGAGGAGAGATTCGATAACGGTGGAGACAGAGGGAGAGGGGAAGAGGAGGAGGAGGAGGAAAAAGAAGATGAGAGATTCGATAACGGTAGAGATAGAGGGAGGGAAAGAGGAGGAAGAAGAAGAGGAGGAGGAGGAAAAAGAAGAGAGGAAACACTGGCGGGGAGAGGAGAGATTCGATAACGGTGGAGACAGAGGGAGAGGGGAAGAGGAGGAAGAAGGAGAGGAGGAGGAGGAAAAAGAAGAGAGGAAATACTGGCGGGGAGAGGAGAGATTCGATAACGGTGGAGACAGAGGGAGGGGAAGAGGAGGAGGAGAAAGAGGGAGAGGAAGAGGAGAGGGAAGAAGAAGATGAGAGATCCGATGACGACGGAGAAAGAGGGAGGGAAAGAAGAGAGTGAGGGGAGGAGGAAGAGGAGAGGGAGGGGAGGAAGAAAAGGAAGAGGAAGAAGAGGAGGAGAATGAGGGAGAGGAAGAGGAGAGGGAGGGGAGGAAGAAGAGGAGGAGAAAGAGGAGAGAGAACACTGGCGGGGAGATGAGAGATTCGATAACGGTGGAGACAGAGGGAGGGAAAGAGGAGAAAGAGGGAGAGGAAGAGGAGAGGAGGAGGAAGAAGAAGATGAGAGATTCGATAACAGTGGAGAAAGAGGGAGAGGAAGAGGAGATGGAGGGGAGGAGGAAGAAGAAGAGGAGGAGGAAGAAGAGGAAGAGGAGGAAGAAGTGGAGGAAGAAGAGGAGGAGAAAGAGGGAGAGGAAGAGGAGAGGAAGGGGAGGAAGAAGAGAGGAAACAGGCGGGGAGATGAGAAATTCGATAATGGTGGAGACAGAGGGAGGGGAGGAAGAAGAGGAGGAGGAAGAAGAGGAGAGGTAAAACTGGCAGGGAGATGAAAGATTAGATAACGGAGAAGAAAGAGGGAGAGGAAGAGGAGAGGGAGGGGAGAAAGAGGGAGAGAAGGAGGAGGAGGAAGAAGAGGAGGAAGAGAGGAGAAGGGAACATAGAAGAGAGGGAACTGGTGAGGAGATAAGAAATTAGATAGGGGAGGAGTGGGAGGAAGTGAATAAGAGGAAGATAAGAGGAAATCAATTAAGGATGGTAAGAGGAGTGGGTGGGGGAGGAAGGGAAGGAAGGAGAGGGAGAAAGAGAGAAGGAGAAGGGGAGAAAGAAGAGAGAGAAGGAGAGGAAGAAGGAGAGAAGGAGAAGGGGAGAAAGAAGAGAGAGAAGGAGAGGAAGAAGGAGAGAAGGAGAAGGGGAGAAAGAAGAGAGAGAAGGAGAGGAAGAAGGAGAGAAGGAGAAGGGGAGAAAGAAGAGAGAGAAGGAGAGGGAGAAGGAGAGAAGGAGAAGGGGAGAAAGAAGAGAGAGAAGGAGAGGGAGAAGGAGAGAAGGAGAAGGGGAGAAAGAAGAGAGAGAAGGAGAGGAAGAAGGAGAGAAGGAGAAGGGGAGAAAGAAGAGAGAGAAGGAGAGGGAGAAGGAGAGAAGGAGAGGGGGAGAAAGAAGAGAGAGAAGGAGAGGGAGAAGGAGAGAAGGAGAAGGGGAGAAAGAAGAGAGAGAAGGAGAGGGAGAAGGAGAGGGAGAAGGAGAGGGAGGAAATAGAGGGAGAAGGAGGGGGAGGAAGGGGAGGAAAGAGAGGGAGAAGGAGAAGGAGAAGAGGAGGATAAGGGAAGAAAGGAGAAGGAGAAAAAGGGGGAGAAGGAGAGGGGGAAGGAGAGGAGGAGATGAGGAGAAAGGGAGAAAGAAGAGGGAGATGAGAAAAAGAAGGAAGAGAAGGAAGAAGAGGAGAAAGAGAAAGGAGAGAAAGAAGAGAAAAATGAAGAACAGAAGAGTATGAATAGTAGAAAATGGAGGAGTGGAAAGAGAAAGAAGAGGAGGAGAAAGAGAAGGAGATGGGAAAAAAGAAGACGAAAAAGAAGAGAAGATAATGGAGGAAAGAGGAAAGAGAAAAGAGGAGGAGGAACTAACTAATAAGATTAGCAAGAGATGAGAGGGGAGAAAGAGGAATGAGAGAAAGAGAAAGACGGAAAGAGACAAAGGGATAAAGAGGGGAAGAAGTATAGTGAAAGAGAAAGAATGTGAAGAGAAAAGAGACACGAAGAGATAATAAATTTGATAAATAGAGGAAAATAAAACAAACTATATACATAAAAGTGCTTTTGTATGGATGCATGGATGAGTGTATGTATATGTAGGTATGTTTGTATCTCTATGCTTGTATCCAATAACATTGTATTGAGTGCATTATATTGTATTTTGTTAAAAGAAAACCAATCTTGGGAAATCGTTCAACCACTTCCGGAGAGAAAGACATTTTGTGCTCGATATAGGCCTACGTATATAATATAAGCCTACCTCTCCCGATTTCCAGAAAAAAATAAATATTCTATCTAAAGTTAAATGTTAAACTAATATTTTATTTCTGAATCTAATATTCGTTTTTTTTTTCTTTTTTTTTCCCTTTTTTTTAACAAGACTTTGCTGTCGTAACGCATTCTCGAGGTCGGGGAATGTTGACACACGTCGCCCGCACAACAGAGGAGGAAATTCTTTAAGGATATCGAAGTTTCAAACTCGTAAATAGAATCTTTATATGCAAGATTTCTTTTCCCAAACTTTACATTTCTTGCTCGAACTTACAGATGTATGGAATAAACAGACACGTACATACATACGCATATACAAATGCAGAAGCACAACAAACACACACACACACACACACACACACACACACACACACACACACACACACACACACACACACACACACACACATATACACACACACATATACACAAACATACACACACATGCACACAATCAGACTGTGGTACGCACACACACACACACACACATGCAGGAAGGGTTGAAGGAGGAGGAGGAGGAGGAGGAGGAGGCGGGTGAGGTGGAGGAGTAGGAGGGGGGGAAGGGGAGGAGGAGGGGGTGGAGGAGGGTGAGGAGGAGGAAAAGGAAGAGGAGGAGGAGGAGGAGGTGGAGGAGGAGGAGAGGAGGAGGAGGAGGAGGAGGAGAGGAGGAAGAGGAGGAGGAGGAGAAGGAGGAGGAGGAGGAAGAGGAGGAGGAGGAGGAGAAGGAGGTGGATGAGGAGGAGAGGGAAGAGGAAGAGGAAGAGGAAGAGGAAGAGGAAGAGGGAGAGGAAGAGGAGGAAGAGGAGGAAGAGATGGTGGTAGAGAGTTAGAAAATACAAAGGTCTACGGAAATACACACCATATTTCACTAACTCAGGCTCTTTTAAAAGAAGAAAAAAACGTTTCGCGGAGAATTTCTGTTCCCGAGTCCAGGTGATTGTGCATTTTTTACCTTAACTGCTTCTTCATTTTATCTTATTTAGTTGCCGCTCCTTGTGTGTGTGTGTTTTTTTTTTAAATTATATTTTGTCCTTTTCATCATCACCTTTTGATTGATTATCATCTCATTAACCATCACCCATTCATCATCATCTCCTACTCTCTGTCCTTGCTGTTTTATTCTTATCATGATTTTCAGTATTATCATCTTCTCTTTTTTTCCCTTTCTTTTTCATTACCCCTTCTACGTGCGTGCTTCCATTTTCTCTGAGTATTATTTCTTCATTCTAAAACTGTTTTGAAGCTTTAACAGAGTTGAAATTCTTAATGTTAAGAGTTATTATGGAAAGAACTGAATTAAATTGTTGAACATTCCCCTCATTCACTACCTCATTTTTATCTTCCCTCTTTTCTCCCTGTCTTTCCTCCCATCCCGCCTTCCTTTCTCAGTCTCCTCTCCCTTTCTGCTCATCTCTCTCTGTATTTCTCTATTCGTCTCTCTGCTCTCCCTGTCTCCGCTCCTTCTTTCCTCTCTATTTTCCCTCTCTTTCTTCTTTTCTCCTTCGACACTCTCTACTTTCCCACCTCTCTCTCCCTCTCTATTTTCCCTTCCTTTTCATTCTCGCGCACTTTTTCACTCCTCTTCTGTCTCCTTGTCTTCTTCTCTTTCTCCTTTTCTCTTTTCCCTTTCTCTCTCCATCTCCCCTCTCTTCTCTCTTTCTTCTCTTCCTTCCAGCTCTTCTTTCTTAACTTCTTTCCTCTTCTCTCCCCCTATCTTCTCCCTCCTCTCCCCCTCTCTCCCCACCTCCTCTCTCCCTCTCTCCATCTCTCCCCACCTCCCCTCCTCTCTTTCCTCTCCCTCTCTCCTTTCTCGTCTTCTCTCTCTTTCTCCTCGTTATCCCTCATTCCCCTCCCTCTTTCCTTTAATTATCTTTCCCCTCCTCCATTTCTGAATGCAATCATCATGCAGTTTGCAATTAGTTCCTGAAGATGAGTGATCTTTCGTGATCCTGAATGATTATTAATGATAAGGACAAGAGAACTTTAGCGATTATTCATGTATAGAATTATAATCACTAGGGGTAATATTCATCTTTAATAATCTGTTAGTATAGATTTTAGTCTATGTGCGTGTAAAAAAAAAATGTGTACATACACATATGCAAGTACGTATGCAAGTATAAACACGGAAGTAAACACACACACACACACACACACACACACACACACACACACACACACACACACACACATACACACACACACACACACACACACATACACACACACCCACACCCACACCCACACAGATATATATACACACGCGCACGTACACACACACACACACAAACACACAATTATCCAAAACATGCATACACACGCATATCCACCCCTCTTCACACACACATTCACACAAACACACACGTACCCAAAACATGCACGCACACAAATACCCCCCCTCTCCCCCCCTCCCCCGTCCCCTTCGCATATAACAGACCACAACGTTCCAATCTCCGTCATGACTTAACAAAATCAGGCTCTCGTTAAAACACATGATAATTCTCACCTAATTGAACCTAATCTATGTTAATCACCAAACCATTTCTGATTCATTAAAGCGCAGTAATATATTTCCGGGTTTTATTAACGGTTCGGTTATTCAAGGGGTCAGTCTGGATGGG